TCGGGTCCTCTGCATGCTCTGGCTGCTGCTGTTCGCTCCTCCTCTTCTCTCCTGGATCTCTGGTATCAGCTCAGTTTCCAGCTGCAGGGTTCCACTCCTTTGGACTCCACTCTTTCTTCTGGGCTCAGACTGAACATTGCTAGGTTGCTGACTTTGAAGATCATTGTTGTTCCCTGTTTGAGTTTTAGAAGTCACTTACCTAAATCTCTATCCCAGCACCGTATCCAGCGAGCCTGCTCAGCTGACGAGGAGCCTTTTCAATAAACGCCTTTTTAGTAATCACTGTCTGTCTCGCCTGAATTCTGGGTCCTATGTTCTGAGCCTTCTGACATTTTGACCTAAAATTGAATTCCAGCACTTTGCACGATGAGCAAACAAACAGATGTGGTGCCAACTGATTGCAGAAGTGCAGAGCTTCCAAAAAGCAAAAGGGTGGCTATAAGTAGCTAGATAATAGAGCCTGGCCATCCTTTTAAACCTGATGGAAAAGTAATGGTTGTAGCTCAACCAATATAAATTAAATAAACCAATTTACAACAACTATCATTTCAAGCGAATCCTCCTCAGAGCCTACTATTACAACATTAAGAAAAAAGATAGGAACGCAATGTAAGGGTCTTATTGTAATGGAAAAAACTCAAACTGACACCAGCCCCATCCCCGCTGTTTATATTATGTTTTAACTCAGGTTGTGGAGACTAATACTAGCACTACCATCACTAGTATGACAGGGATGCTTATTTAAACACCATGATCTTCCTATCAACATCTGATCAATGAACCAGTGTTCCAGCTCCCATTTCAGTAAACATTGAAGTTCACAATGTGACTGAGTTTGAACGTCTGTCCTAACCCCTCATTCACTACATAGAGCAGGGACTATATAGTGGACTTTATAGTGAACTCAGTTAACTGACTGGTCGAACAGATGATCACTACCTTCACTCCCAGTTGTTCACATGACTCCAGCTACCTGCACATTGCCTGCGCCAAAACAAATCCCATGATGCTTTGTGAGGAGAGCTGTTTCAAAGCATTCTTGGATATATCTAATGACGCACTATTTTTCAAGGTGCATTGTGGTAAATTTTGAGCCGAATACTATTTCATTCACCAGACCAGTGGTTCTCAACCTTTTGGAACAAATGCCCCCTGACCTTCTTCCACACAGGGGTAAAATGCTGCCCATGTGAAACCCACAGTGCCTGCCAACCGGAGGTCTGTAATATGACTTTTGTCTCCTCATCATTCTGGAGATCAGTGAGGCTCTCTTGGATTTTGGGCTCACAGTTGGCAGTATTTTTTTGCACTGGTTCCAGGTACCTGCATCGGATTGTTATGTTGGAAGAGATCCAGTTTTGCAAGGAAGCTGCAGATGGTGGCTTTGGAGTGGATAAGTGTCACCCCATCTCCCTGGAGCTTCAATGTGACACTCTTCTTTTTCCTAAAGAAGTCGGGGATGTAGAGAATGCAATGGCGACTGGACCACAGCTGAGTCTTCAAGGATGCGCCTGCCTGGTCAAGAAATTTAATAACTGAAGGGAAAGTCTCAGACAGCCTGGCCAAGCAGTTGCCCTTTGACAGTCAGCGCAACTCTGTATGGAGATGTGGGTGCTTAAAGGACTCATCATTTTCCCCACACAGCTGTCCGAAGAGCCAACCATTCAGCAAAGGTGCTTTTGTTTTGTTGGTTCTTTGGCCACAACTTTAAGTGACCAATGGAGTGACAGGGACAATCTTTTTGTCACCACGTTGTGACAGTGCAGAATCCAGTGCACTGCTGACAAACAGGGGGCTTGCTGTTCCAGGGTGGCAATGATGGTTTCTCTTCATGTGTCTGTGGTCAGATATTCCCCGAAAAAGAAATCCTCTCCCAGGTCTCCCCCGGAAACATAACGGACATAAGCTATCAAGAGGATGCTGTTGTCAGCTGTAGTGGTCTCATTGCACACGGCTGTTCCTCCATGTCAGGAGAAATCTCCCGTATGTGGCCGGGCCACAGTTTTTACTGAATGGGATGGCATTGTTGACTGGCATAGGGTCGCACTGCATCACGATGGAGATCGCCTTCTACAAGTGTCAGCCAGCAAAGATTCGGTGACAACTACAGTTCTACTCTTGCTATTGTGGAAAGGGATGGAGAAACCATGCGCTAGACATTCGGACACACATTTTAAATGGCATAAACACTATAAAGTGCTCTATAGGCTGGAGATCCGGACAAAGCCTGGGTATTTATGAGTGCTATTAGAATATTTTCCATCTTGGAATCTTATTTTTAAGCGTTTTTTTATGCTGGATCTTTGGCTATTCTGTATAATTTTTACCACTCTTTTGAGATATGCCAACTAGCTTAGTGCATTCCATCCCTGTTTACCCTCTGTGCACATCTACAGTATCTTCCCTCTGGTCAAGCGCTGTTTTTTTGTACACAAAGGGCTTTATTTATTCATACACAACAGACTTTCAGAAAATCTTTGTTTGCCCTTGCTGCTGTCCCTGCTATATGAATTTTAAACATGTCATGTCATTACACACCAATTTTTTTGGGGTTAGCTTGCTCAGATGATGTAACAGCAGCTGGAAATGTAGTCAAGCCTAGCTAAAAAACAAACAAACATTTGATTCTAGTTTTCATTTAATTGCTCACTTTATCTTTTCATACATATCCCTTACTATATAAGAAAAATATGAATTCAAGAGTGCAAACAACATAAATTTGGAGAACATGTTTAAAAAAAATGGAAGCTGCGAGTTACTTGAGTTTTAAGGGCTGCTTATACTCCCGCAGCCAGTGTTGGGAAAGTTCTCTT